TTGGCTTCCTTGACTTTAGCCGTTCCCCTTGCGTCGGCTTCCAGTGATGTTCGGTGTCCGGCAAACGAGAGTGGCTTCCGGTAGGATTCCAGCGGCGGGTAATCGAAAGTGGTTCTGGTAAGCTTCCAGCGAAAGTGGCTACGCTGGTTTCTGATGAAAATGACTGAAATTAACCCGTTTCCGCCGAATGTCGCTGGAAGTTTTTGCCGGATTTTAACCGTAAGTGGCTCCGGTAAAAGGTTTAGCGAAATCTAATCACTGGATGTGGCGGCCGGTAATATTTCCACCAAAAAAGTAGTAAACTATGCTGGTTTCTGGTGAAAATGCGTGGAAATTAGCCCGTTTCCACCGAATGTCACCGAAAGTTTTTGCCTGTATTTTTCAATAGGGAAGAACAGACATCACAAACTTTCAGCAGCGATTCCGCAAACGCGCAAGGAATGTACGTGTGAATATGACTAGCCCAGGCAGTATTCCCAAGGAAAGCCCAACTTGGCACAAGGTTGGCGCACAAGGGGAGTTAAGGCCAAAATGCGTCTCTTCTGCCTTAACTAGTAAAAGAAATAAAATTATGTTGTTTTTTCTGGCTCGCCACATAATTTATAATTGACAAATTGCCAGACATTAGTCAAAGTTACCACCGGATAATTGACAATCACCGGTGCAACCGGATTCTTGCACTAGCTCGGGAATCGATGCTTAAAGTTGCCAGACGAGAATGGAATAACCGACCTTGAAGCATAACTTGGTCATTTATTTTATTTGGTGATATAGGCTGTAACGAACGACCATCGCGGCACCACTTGGACGCGGAGCGCCCCCCCCCCCCCCCTTCTCCAACATTCCCGGGGACATGACTTCCGCTGACAACCTCGAGCCACGATTAACTGCCCCGCTGCGCGGGTGAACACCCGTACCGTTTACAAAAGGGGTAGGCAAGCTGTAGTCGATACCGGCTCAATTAAGGTGCTGAAAAAGAAAGACTTTCTCCTCGAGGAGTCCAAGCAGGAATCAACCGCCACGGTGATCCGTGCTAAGCCGAAAGAGGGAGATGAGCCGTCAACGATAGCTGCCCGATTATCGGCGTCCAAGGTCCTTTCCGTCCCGACTAAGGAGGGGAACGGTATCTTTCGGGCGTTCGTGCCCTCTTGGAGTCAACAAAATGATTAACCTGTGTGTGCGCTTGTGCGTGCTCGTAGGCAGTGCCTGGACGTTTGGGGATGACCTTCTCGGGGTCACCTCGCCGTAGAATCCAGGAAGCAAGGCCAAATCTCAAGCGTCCCTGCGGGAATGGGTGCCACTACAAGCCTTGAGGAATCGGCGGAGCAATAAAGACCGGCGTTTGAGCCGGAAGTTTCGTCATCCGAAGCGAGGCACCACGTGACTTCATGCTTCCGGTTCGTCCGGTGCCGGGCGTGGTTCGTCCAGCTGTATCGAGATCCCTTCTTGGCCTGGTAGCCGTGCTGTATTTGCGGTGAAAATGGTTTACAGCTCCGCGATACGTTGTTCTAACGCAAGCCATAGAGGGCATAAGTTGTTCCAGTTCCCGTGAAACAAAGCATGGAAGCAACGATGGGCCGTCGCTGTTAAGCGAGTGATGGAGCGAGGTGACCTGTGACAGACAAACGTCGGTGACCGTTTATGCGCGGCCATTATGGTTACAGGCCAGTACAACGTGTTCTCTCTTTCTTCAGGTAGGGGCCGCGGGAAATAACGAGCTCTAACAGTCTTTTGGCCCCCACCAAGAAGGTCTCGATTAATCGGCGAAGGGGTGAGCACTGCTTATCGTACAAGGCATCCGCGAGAGTGCGGGATGCGATCTCGCAGACAATCAGTTCATGGCACGACGTTTCGTCGACATACAGTGCCATCGCCAGGCTTTTAATCGTTACATCGACAGCTCGGATTAACATTTTCTGTGATGAGCCGCCGCAGACTGTTTCCACGAAGCGGCGTGAATGGGTGGCTTGCTCTAATATAAATAAACAAAAGGACAGGTCCGCTTTCTGTAATATAAAGAAACAAAAGCAAATGGGGAGCAGCTTCATATTCACTGACAATAAAGCGGTACTACGACCCTGCGCAGCTCATATCAAGATCGGTGCTTGTTTGTGCATGCTTTCTCATTCGACATCCTTAAAAAAACGTGCTGGAAGGGGGGAGGGTTATGGTAGTTCACGGGGGACAACTTAGTTCAAGTGCCAAAAACGCGTGAGTGTTAAAAAGCAAGGATAGTCACATAGTCAGATGTCGTCGAAACTAACTTTTGTAGAGAAGTGGCGTTTCAATCGCGCGAGAAAACATATTAGCTGAGTTCGAAACGCCGTCTGACCGACTTCTTTCCCTGTCTTCAACTTTTGTTTGCCTGAAGAGTTTCCTACCCAGACTCAGGTGTTCTATGAGAATGAGAAAATTACGCCAGACCTCCGATCGGGCATTTCAGCTGGCCGCGTCCCACGGCTTACATTCGCGCTTATTCACAGTCGTTGATGTGGTCTAATGTAACCATCAAAAATAAACAGAACCCAAATTCAAAACGCTGGCTCAAAAGCAAAAAGAAATATCTAACCTGAGTTTTCATGCGACGTTCCGGAAAGCGCGGTGCGAGTGCATCTTGCCACCGGCCGCACTCGCTCTGCGCTTTCATGGCCGTTTTCGATGCTTCTGCGTACCGATTACTACTTAACATATTCGTAGAAGTAATTTAAGACGTTCAGAAGTGCGTAAGTCAGCCAGCAGCAGAGGCAGGTGGCCCGGATTGATCGGGTTTCAACACTCGCACACGCTTCCGTAGCCGTCATGGGACTGCGTCGGCTGCTAGCTACGAACCGGAAGTGAATAATACCCAGAGTACTTTGAGGCTGTTGCCAAACGCCGGTCACCTATTGTCCTCTGGGTGTGTTTGTGCGTGCTCACGGGCGGGGCCTGATTATTTGGGGAACGGCATCCTGGCATAGGGACGTGGAGAAAGGGGACCTTATAAAAAGAGCGGTTTTACGCGCTCTCTTCATGTTCTCATGTTTTTCTCATTCCGAACGGCAGACTGTACATAGAATGTAAATAAACTGTTTGAGAAGAGACACCCTGGCTCGCTATTAACTCAGCGCGATGTTCTGGGCGACGCATGGCTCCAGCGGAGGTCGACTACGTGGACAAGCGCTGAGTCTTTACAAGGCACAAAGTTGTCAGGTGAAAACCGAACTACCATAAGGAGTGCCTAATTTTGGCATTTTCATGAGAACTGAGGTCCAATAGGGAAGGGTGAAAACAGAAGAACGAGTCAATGAAGCCTAAATGCGGCACTTGTTTTCCAATTTAGAGCCAAGATGGCCAGACACTGGCAAATTTTTCACAAAACACGGATATACTGAATTCAAAGGAGGTAGTTCGGTATACAGACGTCCGCGTTAACTGAATATGAAGTTGAAATTTCCGCGCGTCTTCACTAATTCCCAAGATTCTGCCAAATGGGAGCTTACGGAATAGAGCATCCAAGAACCGCCTAATACAGTAGAACCTTGTTAAAGCGTAGTCAGCGAGAACCGTGGGCGCCGCCGCTCATGTGCCCGCGCGTGTCCGCGAGCTCAAGAGTACAAGCAACGGAACACAATGATAATAATAAAAAAACTGAAATAGCGTACGCCAAAAAAAAAAACAAAAAAAAAAACGAGAGCTCTTTCTTCTTCGACAAAAAAAAAGTTAAACCAGCAACAAAAAGAAAAAAAAAACTCTCGTAAACATAGTCTGGCGACAAAGCAAAAACGGCGAGAGAAAAAGCTAAACGAAGATAAACAAGGCATCCAAAGCGCGATTGCACAGTCGTTGTCACCACACTAGGCTACCCAAAGACTTTATTCTTTTTTATCTGGGGGCCGAGGTGTTGAGGACAAATGTTGTTTCTCTCTGATTTTCGTGCCTTTTACTGCCCGTGGCCAGAGTCGTTTACCTTTAGCGCGTGCAAACTGCAGGCTACTTGGAAAGCCTCCCTACCAGGGACATGGCGCACGGTTCGATGTATCAAATGTCCCGGGCGCGTATTGCAATGTATTCACTGTGCAAAACCACGAAAGAAGTCCAGGGCCCTGATTGGCCTATTTCAACGTCCCGCTCTTTCGCAAGTAGGAAACAACAATGAAATTGCGTTCGGTGTTTGTTCGCTCATTCGGAAGTGTAACGGGGTACGGGGGGGGGGGGGGGGGTTTCAATGGAACGCGTAAGAGCCCCCTCCCCCTTTCTCCCCCCCCTCCCCCACCACCCTTCACGCCGCTCGGTGGTGGCACATTATAAAGCCACACGAGCGGCGGGGCTGACGGTAGACATTTGGTGGTAAACGAAATTCTAGTTTCTGACGGCAATTACAAAGCCCAAAACCGCATAAAGAAGCGCTAAGAGCCTTTGGCCCTTGTGACATAAATCCGCGTGTAGAAGCGGATTACGATGATAATGGCGTCGGTTCCCGATAGAACCGTGTGCAGCAGCCAAGCAAGCGCAGCCAGCCACCAAGCAAGCAAATCTCACGAGGCGGCATCTCTATCTTGGATGCGGCATCTGTGTACGCGCAAAACACTGGCGCGCGTTTACCCGCCCGAGGAGCGCGCATTTGTCATGTGCCTCAAGAAAGGAAAATCCGGGACCCCGAATTCGTTGTAAACTTTTACTCCATGAGGAAGCAAATATACATGTCCCGCGTGGTGAAGTTCGACACAGACCACGGCGTAAGATATATCTTACACCGTGATACAAGCGTACTAGACGTCCACACATTTACATAACATTTTCAAGCAGCTCTTTTGACAGTTCAGAATAAACTATATATCTAAATACTTGGGTTCCAATCGTGCTCGACTGTATTAAATATAGTTACACCTTGCCTTTTTTTCTGTTCCTTCAAGGGCCAGACAAAACCAAATTTCGCCGAAAAAAGCTGTGTTACTTGAAAGGGGAAGACCCAGGCGAGCTGCCTTTTAAACACTGTCACGTAAAAATGCTGTAGTACCCACCAATTGAAAAAGGGATGAGGAATTCCGGTCTTGGAAGGAGTGCGGATCCATCTGGCGTCATAAATCGGGAAGGGTCGAATTCTTCGGGATTCTTCCAGTACTTGGGGTCGAAGTGAGCAGCCCAGAAATTGGCTACGACGATGGTTCCCTTGGGGATCACGTATCCGCTCAGGAAGACATCCTCGTCAACTCTGAAAGAAGTTAAATAGCTTGACTCGCCGGCAGCTCAAGAAACACAAGGCGTGGCGAGTCCATCGCTCCGCCGCCAATGAGAGTGAGGCATCAGTCTATACAAACGCTTAAACACAAACGGCGAAGCGAAGAATTGACAGCGACCTTTACATTCAAAGTCATATAATGCAGAAAAGGCAGTATTTAAGAAGTAATAGTTTTAATTTGCCTAAAAGATTATATACAGTCTTGTATAGTATAATTGACATGGCATCACTTTCTATATATCTATATATACAGGGTGTTTCACGAAAAGTGGACAGATTCGATATTCCGAAAACTACCCGCCGTAACAAAAAAAAATAAAAAATAAAAAAAGGCTTTCATCGTTTTGGTCCTGGGCCGGGGGCCCACTTAGGAAAAAGATTAAATATTGAGATAATTAAATTGTTAATTTATTTTTGCGGAATTAACTTTTTTATTATTGATGTTAAAGGCTTGGTTTTAATTAGAATATTGATGAGAATCATCGAAAACACTAAATCGATAAATTGAAGTATGATAAAAGGCACGCGCAGCATTTTATAGCTTTCTGAAAAACCGCACAACTTCGGTGGGTATTTAAGTTTCGGTTTGCAATCGGAGCGCTTCTCCGCCCCGACGGCACCACGCCCCCTGGAGAAATAGTGCAGCCAACCTCTGCTGCGCTGTCCTCGCGCAACGCAGTTGAGGCTGTTTGCACTCTTTCTATGCACCACCTACCTCCAAATCGGCGAAAAGTTGTGACGGCCACAACGGATGAAATGCTAATCATGGAAATTATCCGCCCTTCTAATAAGACAGCCCCTGTCAGCGCCGGTCGTTCTGGCCAAAAAAAAAAAACAAAAAAAAATCCGGATTTTCCGCTTTTCCGCTAATTACCATAGGCTGAAGAACGTCACGCAGAAAGACGCGCATCCACTGCCAAGGATCAACAACGCTGTCGAAGCTTTGAACGATGCTAAATATTTCAGCCCATCGATATGACGTCTGTACATTGGGAGGTGGAGATGTCGACGAAGTCACGAGCGAAGACGGCAATAGCCTTACAGCAAGAACTGTTCGAGTTCAATGTCCTCCCGATTGAGCTGTGCAACGCTCTTGCTACATTTCAACAATAATGCAGGTGCTCATCGGAGAGCTGAACTTCTGCTTGCGCTATATTGATGATCTTATCATCTTCAGCAACAGGGAAGCGGAACACGTTAAAAACCTGAAAGAAGTCCCACATGGTTTGAGATAGGCTCGTCACAATTTAGAACTTTTAAAGTGTCGCTTTTTTAGAAACATCGTTATGTACCGAGGCGACAAAATTTTGGCAACGGGAGTCGTAACTGACGTTACTAAAACTGAAATGGTTTCGAAATGGCCGCAGCCTTCAGGTGTTGAGGCTCTTATCTACTTCCTGGGGCTTGCCTCGTACTATAGGAAATTCGTTGCAAACGTTCGCACACTTTTGGCTCCTTTTTAAAAGTTAATGAAGAAACAAGTCATATTCATCTAGAGTTTTCAATGTCTTAACGCCTTCGAAGAGCTTAAACAACGCCTGACGAACTCTCCACTTTTGACATTCCCAAACTTCGACCTACACTTTATTCTGGACAAAGACATAAGTGAAGAACGTATTGGCGCAGTACACTTTCAAGGACACGGTTGTACGAAAGGCGTTGTAGCCAATGGCTGTCGTACCCTCACGAGGTCTGAATGCCACTTCAGAGTGACCAGAACAGAAATGTTGGCCGTAGCTTGCTTTCTCCGCTACTTCAGACACTTACTGCTCGGATGGCCATTAACCCGCAGGACGAACCACAGCGCACTGCAGTGAATACATGACCCTAAAGAACCGGAAAGTCTAGTAACACGTTGGATTGGTCAGCTCAGCGAAAACGAGTTCGTCGCTTGTCATCGACTGGGAAAGCAACCGGGCAACCCAAATTCGTTGCCCCGACGACCTTCAACAACGAACGAAGGCCAACACTTTGTACCCATGTCAGTTTGACAGACTTCATTCACAATGGCGGACCTCCACGACAAACAGCGATGTGACGCAAAACTTTCGCCCATCATCGAGGCCCTGCTTGGAGGTAAGCTGCCAAGAGGGGTACGTCTATGCACCGCGAGAGCGCTTTGCCGCCACCGGCACCAGCTAAGGCTCGTCCAAGGCTGTATCATCTAGATGAGAACACCGGGGTCCACCGCCATCCGCGTGATGTCCGATCTTTGGATACAACTCGCATTAGACTCTGTCGACGTTGCACTGGGGAGGGGGGTCATTTGGCCTAGTAAAAAGACCGAAGAAAGGAGTATAAAAGTTTTCCTGGGTACAAATAGCACAAGTACAGCCGACTTGCTCTGAAGATGTGTTAAGTGCTCTGTTCGTAAGGTACCGAACACGAGACCACGAGTACCGCTGGTCCTCGAGGCAGCCACCTTCCCTTTTGAACGCGTGGCTATAGAAATGACTGGTAGGTCCCAATGACTGGAGCGCACAAGGAAACCCTGGTGGTGAGCGACAATTTCACTTGATGGGTGGAAGCGTTCGCCCCGAATAGTCAAGAACGTAAGGGCGTCGCCAACTGCCTCGTTCACAACTTCATTATTCGCTGCGTAATATCATCGGCACTACATACAAACCAAGTAAGAATTTTCGAGAGCCAGGTGCTCCAAGAAGTTTTTTTTTAGATTTTAGGCATCGGAAATAAAAGGACCTCTTTTTACCACCAACAGTTCGACGTACTGGTGGAGCGCTTAAATCGCACGTTATAGACAGCTCTCGCGCGTGCGTTAATGAATCGTAGGTTGACTGGGACATCAACCTACCTCTCGTCATGATGTCTTGTCGCTCGAGTTTGCATGAATTGACTAACTACAGTGCGTATTACCTGTTCTTTGGAAGATACATGAAGATCCCAGTGGACGTGTTATTAGGCGTACTCAACCACGTTAACCCGTCGACTTCTAGTTGCGATCGGCACTTGTCACGCCGTCTGAAAACTTGCAGGAATTCCCGTCCATGCAATCATGAATGAAGAGACATCAAACATTACACAGAAGCGCCACTAGGACATCACTACCAATAAACGAGACTACGAACCAGGTGAAAGACTTATCTAGCATTCCCCACATACAGTGCCTCAAGGAAGGTCCTGAAAGCTACATTTACCGTAGTTGGGTTCATATGTTGTTTTCAATAAATTCGCTAACCACGTCTACCTTATCCAAGAGAAAACAGTAAAATTAAAGCGACGGGTTTTCTACTACAACAGTTTCGAACGAATAGCCGATTTAAGAGAGCCGATTGTCCTGCTTGCTAGGGCAGAACAATCGGCTGGTCGTTGGTCATGAGGTTGCCTGTCCTTCTCGACACTCCCGCCCGAACGTCCCAGATATATTTGCACAGCAAACTAAACTATTTCCGTAATAGACAGAGAAGATGAAGATGTGTACGTCGAGGCACACGAACACTTTTCGTCACTCAACGCAGTCAAAGATCCGCAAACGATCGACACAGTGCAGGATCACCCGCTGCTCGACGTAGTGGAAAGTCCACCGGCGGTGAACGCAGTGGAGGATACACCGCTCGTTGGCAATCTCTAAACCAGGATGATCGATGAGAACCCAGGGGATGCACATTATGACCTTCGACTACTAGACAACTTGAGGCGAAGAATTGTGTTTCGGGACGCCAACTCAGTTCCAAGAAGGGATGATGTAGCGAGGGCGGTAAAAAAGGAGGACAAAGTGCACCTGTGGTGCGCGAGGGCAGTATCGGGACATTCGAGTGGTTGTAGAACTTTAGCGTCGACTTTCGCTCTCACATTACAGACCTAATTAACTCTAAAACGGTACTACATAATTAACTAGTTCCCTTGGCCCTTCAATACACTGTGCTCTCTCGACGCGGTCCGAAGTGCAGCTTTTGTAACATCTTTCAGCGGTTTAGAATAAATATATGCAAAGCATTATTTGTCAACTGAAGGCAGGTTCAACCCCCTGTTGCTTTACTTTGCCTGTATTCCGCGGAAATGCAGGCTGCAAAGGTCAGATACGAGATTTCAAAATATCCAGCTGCATGGACCAGCGCATTTCCAAGGATTACTTATACCCTTGTCATACGACGCCCTAAAGCTCCCATCAATAAATGTCCTTGTGGGGGCCCCGTGCTAAACACTTCGTTGTTTTGTATTTTTCCTTTAAGCTTGCAGCACCATCGTCAAGCACAAACGGCGATGTGGTCGCAAGCGCGCGTGATGAAAAGACATTCCATCCGAGACATCGGAGTCGTTTGACGTGTTTTCTCTACAAAAATGGTGACCGGAACGCGATTTGCTCCGAGCATCTGTCATCCAGGTGAATGTTCTCCGCGACGTGGGACTCTACAACGATGCGGCCTCGGACGAGGGTGCTGAGGTCAGCAGCGTCTTGAGGCCTCAAGCGCGGCCTCCGCACCTGCGGCCTGCATTACCTCATCTCCCGTCGCGTCTGCCGCCGGCACGTCGGGACGCATCCACTTCGCTTGTCCCTGCCGGCTCGGCACGCTGACCTGCGGCTCTATCTTTGCCGCTGCCGTCACTAATCTGTCACCGGCTACGGCGCGTCGTTGACCGTCAAGGGCAGTGCGGCTGTTGAGTCGTAGAACATCAGCGTCGCTCGTCAGCTGAGCACCGCGACTCTGAGGAATGTACCTGCAGCGATCGCACAGCTAGTCACATCATTCTGCGAGTCTGAGGTTTACTTCGAGCCACCGGCGAGTGCCCGCTGTTTCCGCTGGAGGCAACTACGGGGGCGTAGCACGCAGTCGATCCCCTTTGCCTGCAGTCTGCCAGAAGCCAGCCCACTTTCACCTCAGCGGTTATCGGACGCTACCTTATCCCTATTACAACGCTCAGTTCAACTTCGCCTGCATCTCCGTCCATCACCTGCAGCCAGTTCCCGACCGAAGGCAACGTTCTACGGGGAGGGAGCCCTGTGGGGGCCCCGTGCTAGACACTTCGTTGTTTTGTATTTTTCCTCTAAGCTTGCTGCACCATCGCCAAGCACAAACGGCGATGTGGTCGCGAGTGCGCGTGATTAAAAGACAATCCATCCGAGACATCGGAGTCGTTTGACGTGCTTTCTACAGTCCTTTTCACTAAAACATATAGTGGTAAGTAAGTTGCTGTCTCACGTTCGGCAATATTCAATTTACCATCGACATGATTGCCTTTGGGCTGGGCCCAGCACCTTGAAACCAAAACTAAAATTAGTATATATAATTTTAGAATCGCTTGAAAAAGTTACGAGTTAATTACGCCTATACAACGAACCGTTTCTTAAATAGATATAATTCGGATCATAATAAAAAAAAACACCCAAGAAGCTTTCGAATCAAAGCCAGGCACTGGCAACCAAGAGAGTATACGAAATCGACAGTCTGCTAAACGTTTGCCTGCTTACCGAAACCTAAAAAAATACTTGAAATTGTTTATGTTACCATAATAAAATCTCCGCTTTATATACACCTCACTTACACCTTACGATGCATAACTTTTTACTTATACATGCAATTATTTAGGACTGCACGCTGCTATAAAACATGATTCTAAAATTTATAAAAAGTTTATTGTCTTTTTTTAGCTCAAAGTCAAAGAAATACTTCCTAAATAATTTTCTATACACAACGCATTGGTGCCTCACGGGCTCTGGATGCGGCAAAACAGTATTTACTTTTGTTCGAGCACATCGCAACAGCAAATTTTTCGCAGTTTTCAATCAAGGACGCACAGCCTGTTAGTTAGGAGCCCTGCGTGGCAGCTGGGCTTTGCACGAAAATGTTGCCAATGTCAGCAAGACGTGCATCTGAGCACCGGGAAGTCAGATGGCTCCATCTGGAGGAGCATTCTTGAGACAGGTGGCACAAAACACCTATCGGGTGTGATTCAGCATGTATTTTTGTTGCTATTCAGCTGTGAATTTTTGAAAGGCGCTTTTTACTGGAGTGCGTTATATCAGATGCACCACGCATTGTAGAGTTAATTCTATATACCACGAATACCTGGTAGAAGAGTAAACACACAAGCGACTCGATTCGAAGCCCGGGAGCTGTGAAAGAAGGCTCAGAATGTTTCTGAAGAAGTTAAGGTTCTTATTGGCAACGAACGTTCTTCATTGCTACAATGTCCTCAGCCAGCTCAAAAAAAAAAAAAACTTATGCCGAGGCTAGTCCTTCAATATTTTAACTTCAGGAAGACAAAATAATACGCCAGCTTTCCTCCATTGCTGTTAGCGCCTACTGTCGAGAGTACTTCATTTGTACTAAAATATGCTAGCGAGCTCCTTTATCGAAAATGTCTTTTAGTCGAAGAAGCATTTATGGTGCCATATCGCACGATGTCCTCCATTAAGAGATTGTCTTTTCTTCTAATGGAACTTAAGCTGGTCCGTCAGAGAGGGGTGTTACTTTCATTTTATTGCTAAAGAACATTTATACACTTTTTCTTTATGTTTTTACATGCCTAGTATAGCTGGACTTCTATATCATCATGGCCGCTCTTATCCACTGCGAACCGCCATTTCTTTTCTTATCGTTCGAAGAATAAAAAAACGGTAGTGGCGAAACTATACTAGGCTGTACATGGATGTCTTTCACATTGCAAGTTCAAATTAAACAGGCCTAACCATTGATACGTACAGATGCTTGGTGTAGTCGTTCAGTGCGAAAAAATGCCCCTCTGATTGCCGACTGCCAAACCAGTGGACAAGAGGAAAGCTATTTTTATATTCGCTACATAACTAGCAATACTAACCGCATGCTCGGCTTCCTCGAACATAAATTTCTTTTTGTTCCTGTGTCTCAAGCTGTTATCTATAAAACCGTTGTCCAACCTGAATTGGGATGCTCCTCTTCTATATGGGATCCAGGCATTGACTTGCTTACAACAACAGTCGAAAGTATTCAAAAGATATCTGTTCGCTGTATTTTAGTAATTATCACCGTACTGCAAGCGTAACATCTGTGAAATCGCTTTCAAACCAACGTAACCTTTCCTTACGTCGTGGGCTATCCTGAGTTTGTACGTTTCATAAAATTTATGATCACAATTTTTCCTTGCGCCATAAATTACAGACTCCTCCTTCATATGTCTCGCCACGCGTCGATCACCTACACAAAATTGGTCTACATGTTTGTAAAACAAATACTTTTTATGATTCGTTCATCCCCAATACAGCAATTACGTGGAACCACCTTCCATCATCAGTTGTGTGCGTAACATATGTCATTATGTTCAAGCGTTGTTTAACCAATTTTCTAAGTTAATAATTGCTATGTTCGTATTTCATTTTCTTAGGTTGTCATTTTTTTTATTTGATTTTCCTATTGTAGTCCTGCTCCCCTCTGTAGTGTTCCCGGGCCTTGAGGGTACAATAAATAAATAAATTAATTAATACATAAGGCCTGTTTTGCTCAACACTCAATGAATAATAGTGCATGCTTTTAGTTGCGTTCTGAATATTACATTATCTTTTTAACTAACTTGGCGTATCAACTAAATCCTAAAAAAAATGTAACCCAACGTTACAGTTAGATTGGGTACTCAAGTCGAGTCGGTTTTGATATAATGGTTACATCTTTGGCACAATTTGCAGCAGGTGCTGTTATATACGTTCCTTCGAAAATCTAGAAGCATCAGTCGTACTGCGCTGGCAGCATATGCATTGTACGCCTAATGATGCAAGAATTATGCGGAAATTTCGTATGCGTAACAACAGCGCTACACAAAATGTTTAACGTTAATGTTAAATGTTAATCGAATTTTCACCTACGCCATACCTAACCGAAGCTAACCAGAAATAATGAGCTTCCATGCGGGTTTCCCTTTCAAGCTGTTCACAAGGGAAACGTGTATGGTCGTTAAGGGGAGGAGTAGGGTGGGGAGGAGCTTCCATTTTTTGGCCTCCAGCTCAAGCTTCCTGCCTTGGACAATGCGTCTGCGTCTCGTGAGCCCCGAGCCTGCATGCGAAGACAAAGCACGCGTCTGAAGGCATTACGCGTGCACTGAGAGCCGGCTTACGAAAGACTCATCCCGCCGTTCTTATGCTGTGAGTGACTGCAGTGATCTTACTCTCTTGGCAGGTCCAGCGTGGTGAGGGTTTTCCAGCGACTCATCTCCCATACGACAGCCATGCTGTATGGCATAAAGCGGTGGTCTTCCCACGTCGGGGTGCGGCCAGACCCGACAACCCGGTCAATCTCTTCCTGGATCTTGGCTTGAACTGTGTCCGGTTTCTCGGCGCAGTACAGAAGGATATACAGAATGCTGGCTGCCACGCTTGCCGATCCAGCCACCAAAATATCAACCATGTTTCCATGAAGGGCGCGAGCTGTGCGCGACAATAAGCATTACTATGATATCGCACACGCCAGGAAGACAACGATTTGGCATCTGCGTGAATGGAGCAAACATTACAGGTCTTCAATATTGTGTCAAACAACAAGATATAGAAAAAATGAAGGGTCTCCTCCAATGAGCATTAGCTCGGTTGGCTTGTAATGTACCTTTTGGCGAATATGTGCTGCCACCTAGAAAAGTGACTGGGTTCGAGACTAAGTGGCTAGCAAACAACGCGCGTGCAAGGCCTCTCCCACCCGTTCCACACCCAAAACGTCAGCCACATCCCGTTCGCCTGTTGAGCCGCTGTGACCTAGATACGGCTCCCCCAAACTTGCCTTTGTCTCCGCCGTGGGTTATCTTCTGCCCCGAAGTCCACACTAAGAAACCATCTTCCCTCTCTGCTCGACCAGAAGGAAGAGAGACAGAGAGAGTACTAGAACCATTTACTCTCGAACCGATGATTCTACAAAAGGTCTATTGTGTTAGATAGCCAAAATAGCGTGACAAAAAGAGGAGTATTTCATAAGTCGCCTCGTCTGTCGTGCACTATAGGGTCCTTCATGTAATACACACCGCCCTGCCTGTATCACCAGTTTATGACCTAATCTAAGGGGCGTATTATACGTAGGTTTAGAACGACATAAGTGGCAAATAAATTTATACCACTTAGCTTTTGGTATCAAAACTTCAAATAGTAAAATATATACTCTAAAGAATGGGCATATCACAAAGACTACTTCAATTAAATATTATGACGAAACGTTTCCAAGTAAGCAAAAGCAACGCTGGTTACCGGCCACACTTTTTTTAACTTTTAATCAACGCAAGTCCAGTAGCGGAAACATTATGCGCTGCCCACGTTTATTTCATGTTCCCTTAGTTTATTACATGGTCTCGAAACTGCAAAAGATGTGTTAAAGAGTTTTATGTTATTCAATATCATCGTGAGTGGAGTTGCGTTTACTTGCCACTGCGAGGCAGAGATGGGATAGGAATCTGAGCGTAGAGTTGCAGGATAGAGTAGCATCAACGAAACATGAAAAATAGCCACTGCGGATTGGGATGTTTTAAAAATGTTTATCAGAAATACTCTATTCTTAAAAGAACCTCAAGCTACAAAAACACGCTAAAGAAGCGGGAGGGCTAGTGGCTTAAAAATAATCGCCATATTCGCGCACAATAAAGTGCCATATGTGCAAGAAACCCAATAAAATATCATTTTTATCGATCACTATCTATATCTGATGCATCGATCACGCGAAGTAAATAGTGACGTCTCTCTATAAAGCTACAGAGCGCGACGCCATTAGTATCAACAGCCGACTCTTTGTTCCGTTTCATGCATATAATGTCTCTGATATCACTCTTAAAGTGCTGAACAAGGTCATGTTCAGGACACCAGCCGAGCGAGTAACATGTAGTTCTTGTCGACGTGCAGTCTCAGATAAATTGTAAAAAAAAAAAGACAGAAAAAAAAAACACTGTTTTGTTTTTCGCAAGAAAAGCGCTTGTTGCTGCTAGATATTTTTATTGTCTGCGAATAACTTGTAAGTTTCATGTGCATACAAGGCTTCTAAATGAATATTTTTTTTATATGGAATACCTAAAAAATTTAATATTGGTGGTATAAGGACTCGTTGCGATATCAATATAGGCCGTACAAAAATAGTATTTTACCATTCTTCGCATATTTCATCTTGTGTATCGCCTGACGGCTGGTACATTGAAAACAATTTTTTGGTGTCTGGTCACCACCGCCTTCCAGCACTTCTTTCCGGTGTCTATACAAACAAGTAAATGTTTAAACGTACCGTTAATGTTGGACTTGGGGTTCTCATTGTGCTGCGTTACCAAGGCAAGGTATCCTTTAATAAAGTGTGGATTGATATCTGAGTCCACTGTCTCCAGCCGGTCATTGATTTCATTGCTGATCAAAGAAAAAAAGTACTTAGCACGGTCCCTAAAAATGCGGAGCGCAATACGCATATTTATTTTGACTTTGTTTATTTGTTTTGGGAGTAATTCAGCGACATCCAGAAATGTTTTGATTGAAAATTGTTCCATTATTAGTTCAAGTAAGGCATATGCTGTACTTAGGTTTGGGGAGTTGATCTCTTTTTTTTTACGATTCATTTTTTACTACAGCCGAACTGCGAGTTGAATCTTTCTGTCAATCGTCGCAGTTGAATACATCGCCACATGAGTGTTTTTGTCAGGGTTCAGGTATTCAATATTTGCTGAAGACATTACTTGAGTAGAAAAAAATATTTAACGGTATTGTGGCAACGATTTTCGTTCATATTTCCTTCGAAAGAGTTCATAAAACTCATGTAGCAGAAATGAGTAAGAAGATTTCAAGCGGTTTATGTATGTATATTTCATAATAACAAGAGCTGTGAGCACGAAACGCAAAGGTAGGAGTAGACCGTGCTACAGTGATGTCTCGTCAATATGTACACCTCCGTTCCCACAGAAAAGTATTTCTGGTATGAGCTGTCAAACAGAACGGGGCAAAAACAAACCCAGTTTGTCCCCAAACATTTGGCAACATAAACAGGATTCTTATATTGCTATAGCATGGGCCGGATTGACGAGACATGACGTAATGTGTTCCACGGCCCCTACTTCCACTTCTCGACTTCCGTGTAGCTCGATTTGAAATTGTCCTTAAAGTTTTTCGTTGTGTCTTCTGTTTGGCAATTTTTAGAGATTGAACTGAGTTTACCGAATGAACTTGAAGAACTTTTGTTGCAATTCCAGGCCGTTGCCACCTCCCAGACAGTGAATATATGGCGCTATCCACTTGAGACATTTAGGCAAGGGGTCCACAGGAGAGACACCGGAAAATATCCTAAGAAAAGCCTCCAATAATGTGTCCAGTCGATTTAGCCTCGGGTCGTTGAAATCATAACGGCTACCCAGCAAGAGCGCCGCGATGTTGTTGGTCACACAGGGAAGAAGAAAAGGCCGCACCATTACTGGGTGACCTTTCGTTTCTGACACTTTCTCTCGTAGGTACTGGAACTCCTCCTGCAAGACAAAACGGTGGATTTAAATTACGGTGGGTTGACTGCCTCGAAATAAAACTTTAATCGTCGAGTATGAAGCAACGTGACCACTAATGTTTCTGTGGTATTGAGTTGAGGCAAGTGTCAAAAATCTCATTAACTTTAGTAAAAAAAAAGGAGAACTACATTATGGCAGAAAGACGTTCTAGAATAGTCCTCAGCAGTTTAATTTTCCGCGATTGGACCAATAGGTCTGTAGTATCGGCAGCGGTTGGACTTAAAGTGAAACGGAATGTAGCACAAAACCCGATTGGAGCAAACGTTACGACACAGTCAGTGGCTATAAAGAAGCGTCACGTACGCAGTCGAAAGTGAACGCAGTACAGTCAACTCAAATATCGCGAAGCAACACTTGAACATATGCCGCATCTGTCCCGTAGAAAACCTAGATTTTCATCACCGAATATGGTAGTAATTTAGCAACACGAGTCTTATGATTGGTGGAACTGGGTTTTAGGCTGTCCCAAGATCAACTTCCGGTGTGAAACAAGCCGGAAGAATGGTCGCCTGCAAATGGAAAGCTCAAACGTTTCAGTGATTGTGCACTAAGCAGGCCAGTCTTACCGCTTGAAATCTCAAGGCGCAGATTTCTTTCTGTTAAAAGTGGAAGCAAACATTGCGTCCTCTGTTCTCTGCGCATATCGGGAGATTCCGTCGCAAGTTAACAGCGTCGGTAATTCGGTCGACTGCAAACGCGCCTACCGTGGAGTTTGGCATGTTTTCTTGCTTCCGTGTTGAACAGGAAGAGAACTACGTTTTACAAATTCACACGGTAAAATTAACCTGTTCATTGCATATTCTGCGAAAGTGCGAGATCTCTATGTGCAGGCCCCGATTTATTTCGGCTCTTTTTCAGCAGAAAGTTCGTTTGGCGCATCATATAGTGAGAGTGGCCTTACCGGTTATAGCGGCCGCTGATCACGACGCGATATGTCACTCTAATTTCTGGAGCTCCCTTCGCAACTACTGCGCCTTTTAATTTCCCCATCATGACCAATGCTCTCAAAGTTAAACTGGTTTCACTGAAACTAAGTAATTTTATAAATACACTCGATTGTTTTTATTTTGGTGAATCAAATTGACAAAAAAAAAATGGCCCACATCTACAGATTGTAGCCTATTGCAAGGGTTTCGTGTTTTCGGCTAGATCCGATAAAACTAGCAAAAAGAAGGAAACGCTCGCCTGTGAAATATTTGTTAATTTGGATTTATCAGATAATCTCCGAATTTCATGCCCTAATGCAAAAAAAAAGACGTTACTTTATAATTAGATTTGGTCAGAGCAGGGGGTCAGTGGTGTTGAGAAAATACCACCCCACATGACTTTAAAATTTTGGATCATTGAGCTGCCAAGCTGTGTTCTTTTGTGCCCACTCTTTCCCAAGGTGCCCTTATGCCCTGGAATCCCCTTGATTGCTGGCTTGCGGCCGTGCCGTCAATGTTACCGCACTGCCGCACAAATATGTGTGACGACACAGCTTTGGGCGGCGTGCTTGCCACATTTATTCACTGACTCTCTGCGGTTAGGGTAGCACACTTCATATCCTTATTTTTTTTTTTTTTTTGCGTCGGGTAAGCGATTTGAATTTCCATGACAGCTCTAAGCAGCGCTTAGGCTCTGCTTCCTTGACCATCTGGTTACCGTGGAGTCCTCACGCCCGTCTGTACTCGGCCGTATCTCAATATTATGCGACTGCAATGTGGCCGCCGAGCTCTGCAACGTTAGAAGCGCAAGGCCGTTCTGTCACGCGCTTCCACTGTTTTAACGTACGCTGCTGCTGCTCTTTGTGGAGTATCGTCCTCTTCTGCGGCATGCGCATCGCAGATACCTCCCGGTGCGGGACGTTTACCGCGTCCTCAGAGAGACGGGGTGTATCCGCCGCCTGCCTGTCACCAGTGTCGTATGCGAAATTCGTCTGCCACCTCAGGTGCTTTATGAATGAAGCTGCTGAGGCGCGGGATGCTCTCCACTTGGCCATTGATAGTGCTTGGTATAGAGAGCATAGACAATGCATTTCAATCCGAAACAAGAATGGCCCGTACCGACAATATTACTGTCAATTTCTGCGATAATAAAGACGTCATCCAAGGAAATCTCGGTGTTAATGATAATTTGATAATACGAAAGTGCTTTCAAGTATTCTGAATATCAACGTAAAATGCAATGAGAGAAGTACCGCACCTTTCTTCGATGTTTCTAAGCGAGACCTATAGGAGACGTAGCTGAAATAACTTTTCCATCAACGCCAAGATCATTCTTTGCCCCGTATCGGTGTTCGTGAAGCGAAAGAATGCTCATATCAGGCTTTGCTTCGCACAGAATTGTTCCGTGCCGAACCCCTACCAACATGAAACCGTTTTCTTCTCTGTTTGTGCCGTTCAGAAGTGCTTATTTTAGCTTGTATTAAGTCGTTATGATACGCTCTTAGATGAGAATCTTCTGGGCGTATAGAGGCCGGGTATCTACGAAAACCAACATTCCGTCAGAGTAATCAAGAATCGAGCCTGGATGGGAGCAGATTTGTCAAGTACTCCATTACAAGTAACGGATTACTTGTAATTCGTTACTTTTTCAAGTAATTTTGTAATTGCGACGTTACTTTTTTTCGGAAATATTTTTGGAATGTAATTTAGTTACAAAATATTGGTAACAAATTATTTTAATTACTCGTTACTTAAAAAAGGATATGAGCATGTTACAGTAACTAGAGCGATACGACCAGAACATTCAGCAGCATAAAGAGAGCAAGTTCAAGAAAAGAGAAAAGATCAGGAAGGGGAGAACAGCCGAAAAGAAAACCCAATTTTTTGCATGAACGGTCGCTATAACGACTAGAAAAACGGGAAGGGCAGGTACAAATATACGAAAGACAAACATCAAGTAAGACAACGCCAAGTAGACTTTCCGTCGCCTTCCATCGTGTTTTTATTTTTCTCCCTTACGCCGTTTCAAACTTTTTACCTTCTTCGACGTCTCCCGCCACCTCCACAGACATCAAACGCGGGTCCTTACCCCCTCGATTCGCGGGTTCACAACTCGCGTAATAGACGATGTAGCCTACGCGAGGGCGTCGAATTCTCTTTGTCTTTGATGTGCGCTACTTTTTTTTAGCGCCCTCTCGAGACACGTCTGAAAAGCGCCCGGCGCGAGGCTAAGAACATCGTCTTCGAGGGTACGGACGATACTTCTTTTGGTTTACTTGTCTGGCATGGTGGTCGAGTCCACTCCTCACATTACAGTCACCTGTCAGCATAAAGGGGAGGGGGTTAGGCCATCTAAGGAGTGCTGACAGAGAGAGAGGGAACGCGTAAAAGTGCTGTGATCCTCTATTGTTTTGTGAGGCCGATAGCCACCGCTTCTCTCCCTCTCTATGCCCTCCGCTCCCCTGGCCTCCACGAATATTGATATGAAAGTGAGAACCGATGAACAATCGATAACCCGTAACCGCCACTTTTTCTCTGACTAGTCGAGTTTTCGGTCATGCTGTGTCCATCGTCTCCATGACCATCTCGTAATGAGGTGTTAAAAATTCAGGGCATTACGGAGAACGGAAACCTAGAGTTTCAGTGCATACTTTGCTTGCCAAAAAACACACACATTGTCACCAGCAAAACAATGAACCCTAATCTACGGAAACATATCCAGGTAAGCTGGGACACCTGCATTCTGCATTGGCTGTATATACATTATAATATTAGAACCAAGTTTTTCTCTTTTCGTTTTTGTAACAGGTAAAACACCCGAGTCAAAAGGGAGCTTTCGTATATCGCTTCTTTAGCTCCGAATCTCGAAGCGGAGGTAGACGCTGCTACTGAGCATGCGCACCGCTACCGTTGTCTGCCCAATTCCAGGGATCAATTCCGGAGGCCGTAAGCTAGCGGGATGGCTGGTGTGGTTGCAGCTTTCGGTGCCTTGTCAGTTTACATATGAACGGAGTGCACCTACACTCTATCAATTAAATACAATATTTTATTTTTACAAGGACTACCATAATACGGGCGCATGAGAAATGAAAAGTAGTGTTGCATAAAATTTTTGAAAAATAGGAAAGTTTTTTTATATTTTTACGATTATAATGTAATCAAATGCAAAGGAGCAAGCGAGCTGGACAAGAATGACGAAATCTTAAGATGCAAGCCTTTCACCCTTGTTGGTGTTAGACTGGTGGCATCTGATAAAACCTGTTGTTCTTCTTATCTAAGCTTATTCAGAAATGCAAGAAGTGCCAAAATATACAAATTATTTGATTTTTAACGACTCAATAGATATCGAAAGGGGGAAAAGGGAAGTTTAAATGTAGTATGGAACGTAAATTGTATTATAGATTCTAGCCGAACGGGACATTGCATGAGCCTGAAATCACACAAAAACAAACAATTACTCATTACTTCACTTAATATCCCAAATCATAAAGACAAAAAAGCGTTATTTGCTTCTTTTTTTCAACAAGAACCTCGGCTAACTTTTATTAGGAAAATATTTATAATATTAACGTTGAGAGTTGAAATACCGACAAAAAGACGTGTTAACATTTTTAGCGGATTGCTTATTTTCATTGCTCGATTTTCTTCCAAGCTAAAAAAATAATTAGAAGCTAGTCTTAACAATAGGAACAACAAAAATGCTTGAGGGACACCTAAGCACTTCTTATGAGATGTGAATGCGAAAGCATGAATGTCATCCTTCCGCTCTCTTAGTTTGTCTGCGGGTTACTGGCGTGGACGGCCACGTTTCCCTACTGCCGAGTTTGGGGCGGACGGCCGTGCTCGCGCTCTCGTAAAGTAACCGCGCCGCGCTGAGCTCGGCCGTAGAGCAACTCTGGAGTGTGCCCGAGCGGGCTCTGCCTTGCTCGGCGACCAGCCGCTTTATTTTACTGGCGCGCTGGCGGCGCGGGCCCGCAGAGCCATGGGGTGGTGGCCCTTGAAACTGACTCGCGCCGGCCAATGGGAGCCTTTTTTCTTGACACTATGACGCGTGCCAGCCCATGGGCGCCTATCCATCAGATTTCTGCTTCACTGCGTTCTGCTTGGAGAGGTGAATTTAGCTGCCCTTTTGCGTGGCTTTTTTGAGCGGCTCCAAAACTGGGAGCCTTAAAGGGGCGATGCAACAATGTTTGCACTTTGAGCAAATACTGCTTAGAACGGATCCCTGACGTTAATGACTTAAGAAACACGCGTTCGTTTTTCATCTCACGCAATAGAAGTTAAAAAAAAAAATTCAAGAAAGGCGAGCAGCGTCCACCCCCTTAACTCGCAGCCAGATCAAGCGGCCACGTGATCTAGAGCAGATTATATACTGCCAATAATAATCATAGGTACGCGCTGGGGGTGGCAAAGCACAGGACACGCGCGCAGTTCCAGACATTGTTATGGCTCGGCTATTGTCATCGTTGCAGCGATTGGACACGGGCCACTAGTCGAATGCTTCTCGAGCTAGTAATTATCACGAGTCCAAATCGAGTGCCCACGCAATGCTCGGGTCCAATCTATGAACCGCATTCGAATATCGTCATTAGGGTGTACTGCGATCTCCACCTTACGTCATCAAATTTTGCAAAGGAGAGATTGAATGAAAATGATCGATTTTGTCCTTGAAATTATACCGCAACACAGGAGTTTCTTGGCCAGTGGTCTTGCGTGCAAGTATTCTTGAGTCCCACCAGTTTCAGTAAGCTCGTGTAAAGTGAAAAACATTCCAATTGAATATCGTTGCACCGCTCCTTTTAGATCGCGGATCCAGTTCGCTCCATTGGGACAGAGGAATTTAGCTGCCGTTTGGCGGGGCTTTTTGCGCGGTTTCAAAGCTCGTAGCCTTTCAAATCCCGAATTCACTTCGCTCCATTGGGAGAGGGGAGTTTAGCTGCTGTTTGGCGCAGCTTCAAAGCTGTTGACGTGGGCTCTCTTCATGGGACAGTTAAGGCTTTCTTATTAAAAAAGAACGATTCGTTGACACCGTGTTGTGAAACTTTTTTGTAATGCGAAATTTAGCCCAAGAAATATTTTGACCGTTTCAAATAATAAAATGCTCTTCCGCAATAAACATCAATGTACGTTCTATAACTACCCAGGTCTTCGTACAGCAGGTATACCATGCGTTCGCGTGAAAAGCGAACACTGTTTTTCGCGCCGCAAAAATAAACTACACATCGCGGAGAACTGAAACTCCGTCAGAACGTTGCCGCAGTCGTTCGAGCAGGAGGCGAATGTTCGAGCGCCAACCGTAATCTTATTCAAAAGTTATAGATGATATTCTGACGTTTTCAATGGGATTATAGGGCTTATTTTTGGCCGTTTTCGGTTCCTGGCTATACGGAGCTCCATATAATCGAGAACTCCGTCGGCCGCCATTTTTCCATCGAAATTTTCATAAAACCGCTTCTAACTTGTAAATAAGATAACGGTTGGTGCTGAAACTTTTGCATCTTGCTTGAACGGCTGGTGCTACTTCCAGACGGAGTTTAAGGTCTTCGTGACGTCTAGTGTATGTTTGCGGTGCGAAAAAAATAGGGTTCGGATTTCTCACGGACGCCCGGTACAATTAATATCCGATAGAAATATATGCATCACCACGAAAGTTGTTCAGTGATGCTACTCTTATCACGTGCAACGCACTGATGCAATCAACTTTGGAAAACTAAAGCGGAATTGTACTCACCCTAACCTGTTCCAACATGGATTTCCTCCCAGAGCTAAGTTCTCGTAGCGTCTTCACGCAGTAGCGACGGTTTTCCTGCCAGGCCTTACCATTGAGCGAGGCGATTCCTTAAACACAAAGATTGTTAAAAAGGATACAAAATCAAACTGTGAAGGGGGATGACATGCGAAGCTGTTTAGCACACGACACAGACGTGACAGAATTTCGCACAGAGGTACAAACTATCACCGCCCCGAGGAGCCGGCGGAAAGTAGACACGCGCGACGGAACCACCATTACGGGAGAGCGAAAGGAAACTAGGCACGCAAGCGCTTGGAACGGCGACAAAGAGAGGGCGGTGCGAGTTTTTGCTGACGCACATGAAGAACCCATGGAAGACTAGCCATAAACAGCTTCCCCAAAATAATATATATATAGAAAAGAAAAACAAACATCCTGAAGCTGAAAGCAAAACTGGCGGTGTTTTCAAAGCCTCTAAAGCCGATTTAAATTATAGAGCCGTATCAGCTCCCTAACTCTGTTTTGCTTTACAAACGGGCCACCCCTTTTGAAACTGACAATTTTAAGTACAATGTAAGATGGTCTATTGATTGTAAGTGTATTGATAAGTTTGTTAAATATCAAGGATATTTATTAAAAGAAACGCGACCAATAGTTTTGCTTAACTGTTCGTAGTAAATAATAGTAAGACAGCGTCATAAAGAAAGAATTCAATAATTGTGCTTGCGAGCGCCTTAGTAAATTCGGCGGGGCGACACAATTTTAACAGAATGTGAAATTAGACTTCATAGTAAGCCACATGCCTTAACACGTCAAAGATGCAAGGAAGCCTTCCTTACACTGATATCAATACAGATTTCTCGTAGGCAAAATGTGGAATAAGCAAATTTTATATTAATTGAAGAATACAATAGGAAGAACAAATGAGCTATGTACCCCCAACATCCTTGAATACCCAGGTGCGTGGACGAAAGAGGCACTCCTTTTTGCAGAGGATTTCTTTTATCAATTCGAAGTCGTTCACGATGACCATGCTTTGCACTCCCAGCTTCACACTGAAAAGAAATAACTGGAATCAACTATCGGCAAGCAAATAGGAATTCAGAAACATTTCAGAGAAATTAAAGAAGTGGACAGCGTGGCGTTATACGAAACTTATATCAGCTCAAAACATATAAAAGTTTCACTCCGGGGTCACTGGTGAAGACTCTTTTTCCCGCTATTTCTACAGTTTTAGAGCGCAGCTCTTAGGCGTCCGTTTCCAGCTTGAGAGGCGTCGCCGTCGCCGTCGGCGTAGCCACGCGTTGCAGTAGGCGACGTTTCCCATAATGACGTCACACGTCGCGTGGGACGACACGAGGGTCACGAGGGTTACGTGTGACGGCACAAGGGTCACTTTTGACGGAGACGGAGGAGGGGAGGAGGAGGAGGATGGAGGAGTAAAGGAAAAGGAGTCCGGAGAGGCGGGTATGCCCCTCCTCCTCCGTGCCCTTCCTTCCTTCTCAAGATCTGCGGTCTAATCCGGCATTACAGGAAATTGTAAAAGTCTTTCATTTTTTCAGGTTCTCAGTAAGCTCACCTCTCTCTTAATCCACCGAGGTCAAAAAGAGAGAGATGTGTCGACGGCCCCGCCTCGTTACGAAGCAGGTGTGTCAAAGATTCCCTCCCATCTCTGACAAACGATAAGAGATGGCGCAGCATGACATGCCCAGACGCTTTCAAAATTATAAGGCGCGAAAGCGTGCCTCTTCCCGTAGTCTTCGAACGCCGCGTGACAGAGTCTCTCTTTGCGTCTAGGGCAAATGTCGTCTCTCCCTTGCTCAGTCGCTAAAACACTTGGCTCAGAACCTCAAGGCTGTGAGTTCAAATTCTACCGGTGTACTGAAGACTTTTTACGTGGTTCCCATGGGCGTATCGCTTTCTCTGACGGCTCATCGTTAAACCTCAACGTTACACCCAATTTGTGAAGATCTTCATGAAGTTCGCCTCGTAGAACACGCTATTTCTTAAGTTGAAACCGAAGCATACATGTCTGAAAACCCCAAAAACTGTGTTTGTATAGTATACTTAGTGTTATACTTGAATTTGAACAAATACATTTAAAAAGTTGGTAAACGTTGCAGCGGTGCAGTGAGTTGTGCGGCCACAGAGCGATACTATAGGGGGCTAATCGTACCAGTAAGTTGGCTAAATAACTAAAACCTACCTATTAACTTTATAATTTGTGTAGAGAAATATATAGTCACACAAACAAACTTTCTACTCGGTTTCTAAAACCGGGAAGTCAGTAATTTTTAGGAAGATTTAGTGATTGTGAAAAACGTGGTAAGGAGCTCAAAATTACCACTCGTGCGCAGGCCCAAGTTTAGCTGTGAAAATCGCAGATGACAATACTTTATCACACGACTTTTCGTTGGGCTTGTTGGTTTATACTTGACATAGATCGAATCGCGCAAGCTGAACAAAGTCGAAGAGGCAGTCCTTCAACAGGACTGGCGCTGACTTCCAACTAAGATTATTGCAACACTAAACCAAACTCAACAGAAAGTAAAGGGTCATATTACCACACGCGTCTGTGCGTGAGCGCGTTCGTGGCGGAGTGGTTACCGCGCCTGACTTTCATGCGAAGGCCCAGGGTTCGATTCCTGGGAGTGACGCGTCTTTTATTTATTCTTTCTGTTCACTGTTCTCGTGAATTCGAGAACCCTGTGTCTTTTTCGAGGTCTGAATGTTCTTGCCGCCGAACCTACTGCACCGATTGTTCCAGAAGCCAACGCGTGTTGGCTTCTGAACATAACGGGCTCCGAGTGGTGAGCCGCAGTCAGTCTCGCACCAGCGGTCGATCCTGCTGTGACGCCGACTTCGACGCCCGCGACGCTCTGTTGTTATGTTCTGTTCACTTTTTGTTTTGGGCACAAGTTCGCCCCATTAAACGTTTCAGTTTCCTCAAGTATCCTTTGTTTCGTCACCTTATGACTTGAGACAATATAATTAAAAAAAATGAATGTACATGAGAACGATCAATAAAAAATGAGACTTTCACACTTATTCTAATGAGAAATTAGATCGCAGGTCTTCAGGTATGTTGATTTTGTGATATACAGTGGTGGAGAATTTATGAGATAAATATATATATGAGTGATTTCATCTCAACTCACGCACAAACTTTGGGTCCAATTTTTTTTACAAAAATAAATATTATTGGGCGACTACTATAATAAAAGACGCAAACGGCAAGTTCGTCGGATTTTTTGTTCTCAAGTTACGGACCGTTGGAGCGGCCAAGGTGGAAACTGTCGTTTTTCCAGCTTATCGGGGTGCCATATTTCACTCCATCCCTATTCCCTACTTTTTACGCTACATCAATATACCTTTTTGAGAACACCCTCGATATATTCTTTTTCTATGCTAATTAAGCGTCTAGGTCATAACATTCTTAAAGTATTTTTTTTATTTGTCAAACCACCTCTCTGCGACGGTATTTGACGAAGTTCAGCAAGCGGTGCTGTCTGACCTAATCAACATATTTTATGATCTTTACATCACCGTAAAGCCCCAATTAAGCTCTTTCTTTTGGGTATATTTTCAATAATGTGCAATAAGTGTATAATGCGCTACATGTGCCTGAAAACCGGATATTTCGAAAAACTAGCAAGTTTGGAGTCGATTTAAAAAAAAAAAAAAACTTTTATTTTTTTAATTTTTATTTAGAGTTAGGTAACATAGTAGCCTATAGGGAACTACCAACATAAATTGTAATATATTGTTTTTATGGCCGCTATTAAGACCCGACTCTCGTGCCATGAGCGTTTCGAATAGGACTTCGCACAGGCGCTCTGCTGAGGAGAATTTGGGCCTATGTAAGGTTTTCTGTTTATCGTTAGCAGTTACCTCAAAATCCAACCCTAAACCTTAATACAATTTGGAGTAGTGTACTTAATATAAGTTACTTAGAAGTCTGTACCCACAAGTGCGGGCACCAGCGCTTACTTCCTCTCAATACGGGGGAATGCAGATCGTTAGAGAATCCCTCTGGTGTCTTTTGCTTTTGGCTCTTAGTTTAAAATACCGAACATATGTAATTGTCATATTTTCTATCCTTGATGAGCATTGTAAGCGAGTGGGTTTGAACTGCTTTTGAATATGACTAATTCCTTAAAGATAGCCAGGGACAAGCCCGGAAGGAAAATTATAGAGGCTTTCTTTTTAACTTCGGTGTGTCTCGCTGACAAAGAAGTATCTGTTCCAGATGGTTTTATCTCATTAGACTGGCGCGTGCTAGATAAGTATTTGAATGTATAATTTTGTATTTGTTTCATTTAAGTGTTTTTCTCGCAAATGATGGTATATCTTGCTTGGTTTGATCTAGGTTTGAACTAATCAACTCAGTTGCAAGTCAGCGACAATGCTGTCGTCTGTGTACATCTTCGTACTTGTTCAGTTTGCACTGTTTTATTAATGTCAAGGATAATACACGGTGCGATTATCATTCGCGTTTACGCCCCCCGCTGATGGGCACAAATACATGATGATTTGACAGAAAAAAGTTGAAGCCCAAAAATAGTTTCAGCAGAACAAAGATCTGCCAAGCACGCACTGTTAAAAAAAACCGTAAAATTACAGGGAGCGCCAACGGGACCAGAGCCGCTCGCGAGCCGTCGTGGCCGTTTTGCCGTAAACCCCTCCACCGCACCCGAACGAACAGACATAGCCGGCGCGCTGCGCAGGCGCAGTCAATGCAGCCCTTTCATTCGGAGAGGCGGAAGATCACGTGAACTTCTTTCCCGCGCTCCCGTGGGACGCTGTCCGCGTGAAGGCACCCCTGGCGCATGCGCAGTGAGCGTGTCGAGGCAGATCCCGCGCAATTCGGCGACTTTGTGGACGTGTTTTTGGTTCGCCGCACTCAAACCTGGAGATTTCACGGTAAGTGCATTACATCCCCTTCCTTGAACTGTTTGATGAATACCTGTCGCACCACTGTTTTCTTAGATGAGTCGCGCTGTTGTCTGGATTCACTATTATGCATTGCTCGCCACAAGCGTGTGCAGACGATGTGCGCCTCGCACTGGAGGTGCGTAGCGTTTAGGGTAACGGGGTCTTTGCCTTGTTGCTTTCGAGTGTTACTCTAGCATTATCACGAGACGTAGTGTGTCGGTGTTCTACGTTTTTCTTGCTCCCTTCTTAGCTAAATATTATTTTGCTACGTGAAACGCTCTTGGTTTAGCGCTCCGCTGGAAAGGCAGAGGTCCCTGGTCCGGTTCGAGGACCATGCACGCCGATTTTTTCGGTAGCTGCTTGTTCGACATAACGTGCTGTTCAGGTGCAATTTGTTTCGAAACATGCAAAGCGACACAGTGCAATGAGGTTTCAAGTGCCCACAATAATATACTATATACGTTTGACCGAAGTGTAAAAAACTAGTGCCAAAATTCCTTTTTTTTTTTTTTTGTTCGTTTGTGCCGAGCCGACATTTAGGTTCCGTGCACTCTCATATTGTTACGGTAGACTTGTGTGGATTTAGGAAACTTTAAATTGATCGATTCGACCTTCGTGTGTAACACTGCCAGTACTCAAATCCTTTGCAGTACGTCTTTAAGTCCGCGGTCTTTTTTCTTTTTTTTTTTTTGTTGAGTTTGTTGAGTTTAGTTTTGTCCATTCTTTGGTGCGCTACAGTGTAGCGACGGCGCCGGACTTTACGTAATGAGTCATGACTGAATCACATTTGCGAAAAGCGGGCAAATTGTATGAAGAAATCGCAAACGAAAATCGGACAGCAACTCCTATTGCCTTCTTCTTTTTTTTTTTTTTTTTTCTCTTTCTCTTCTTCATTCTTCTTTTTTTTCTTTTTTTCTTTTTTTCTTTCGGCGGGGGAAACCCGGAGGGGGAGGGAGCGATGTCGCAACGTTACTTCGGGAGTTCCGTCCGTTCCGTCCCTCTCCGGGTTTTCTACGCTATGGCGCAGCCGCGGCAGCCGCCGAGGCTGGTTGAGTGTTTCCGCGGTTTTTGATCAGCTTTGTACGAAGACTGCTTTTCGCTGATCTTTGTCTTGTTACGTGTATGTGGTGAACGGAGCATTGCGGAGACTGAGAATTATGTGGGCTGTTCGCTGTGTTGTGGCATTCGGGCAAAGCAAGATCGCGGTGAGTTTGCTCGTGTACAGTCGGCGGTAAAAGTTTGCGGGGCGCGGGAGCGTCAGCCGAAATGGCTGGTTGCGCCTTCTGCGGCGCGCGGCCGCTCTCAAGATTCACGCTTCGAGAATGTGCTTCCTTTCGTGCTCGAAGCCATGACTTTTTCGCTCGCTTCCGCCCGACGTGCACGAGATAACCGGGGACCGGCGCAAGGTGCCGCTATGACAGCCATCACGCCGCGCGTCTGCCTCAGCCACCGTGATGGGTGACGAAACTCGCGCATGCTACAGATAACATTTCGCGGCACCTTGCGCCAGTCCCAGTTATATATCGTGCGTGTCGAACGGAAGCGAGCGAAAAAAGCATGACCGCGAACAAGAAAGGAAGCGCGTGCGCATAGCGTGCGTCTTGGAGCAGCAACGTGCCGTGAGAAGGCGCAGCCAGTCTTTTCGGCAGGCGCTCCCGTGCCCCGCAAACTTTTGCTCCCGACTGTACGTCGGCCGATGCTCGTGTCGGTGCACATCTGAATCTCAACTAAACATCGAGCGCCGATTGTGGCTGACTCCATGCATGTAAGAACGAATTAATCTAACAGGAACTTCGTGAATAAGAACGAGGCAAGCGTGTGGCTGTAGAAGGATGTCGTGACCGGTGGCATACGTACACTGGTTTCCGCACGTTGCTTCTGTTTACTTTATCTGTTGTAATAGCAGTCTTTGTACCGGTGTGTGAAGGCCTCAGTTGCTTCGAAAACCAAAGCTGATACAGCCAGTCTCTTTTTATCCGATGATTCTGTCAAGTCCTAATCACGGCGTCATATATATATATATATATATATATATATATATATATATCAAGAGTGCACGTTTGGTGTTGTTTGCATTAATTTTACTGCGGAGGACGTTGCCTTTTGCGCGGGATCAGTCTTCTCGTGTAACTTGTCTTCCAAATTTGCTTGCAACAATTTTTGCACCCTCCGATTTCCGTTCTATATTCGGTTTCTTTTCTTGTAAATGTGTTTCAGCCTTAACATTTTGCCGCGGTGCAGCTCTGTTCAGAGAAGCAACGGTCTCAGCACAGGAGGGTGCACGAAGCGCGTCGTGTGTTTAGAAAAAAAAGAAAATGAAATTGGGCAAGAAATGATTTGGTAACTGCACCGTAATAAGTGGCTGCCAGCAGTGGAAAAAAAAAAGAGATATGTTGCCTTATAGTTGGAGTTAAAAGTCATCTGCCTTATTGTAGTATTTGAGGTAGAAAGGAGAACAAACTAGATGCCTGGGCCGGCTTGCAAGAGACAGCGTCTGGGTTCAGTCTGCTCAAAGAAAGCGCTGCCAAGGCTCGGGCGCGCGAGCGTTTAGGACTCGGTTTAAGCTCTAGCACTAGCCTTGACAGCGCTTTCTTTGAGCAGTCTCAACCGAGACTCTGCTTCATGCAAGCCGGCCCACATATCTAGAAAACCAATTTTCTGCCCCAAAAGGTGGTAAAAAAAATGTCACATTACTGTGCAATTGCGGGGCGTTAGCGTGAAACATTTTCGCGATAGACTGCAACGCAAACAAAAAATGGAAAAGAGCAAGAAAAAAAAAACAGTAAGTCAAGCGCGAAATGCTAGGGAAAGGAAGGTGGGAGTGGAGGAAGCAGATGGATAGCTGGCAAGGAGAGGAGGAACTTCCCTTGCCAGCGTTGTTTACTTACTCCTTTCCATGTTCCTTTCCCTTGCCCTTGGCAGCAGTTTAAATCAAATAGCGCTGCGTCGTCCTGGCTTTCATTACACTGCTCAAGCTATGAATGACAAGGTGCTATACCATTCCAGCCCAGCTCTGCTCACCTGACCTCTCAAGCCAGATGCACAGAAACGAAAACCTAGCCGAACGTTTCACATGACAATTACTGCGGCCATCCATATCACTGCCCAATGTTAGCATGCTAGACTGTTGCTCCTCATGGCTCGGGCAACCTAAAAGAACACGGAAACATAGTTTTGTATGTTAAGACTGGACGACAAGACGACACGCACGCTGCAGGTGTAGACAGGCAGGTGCAGGTGTTCTATCTTTCTGGTGTAAATAGAACAATGAGGATGGCTGTTTTGCACTTCAGTTTAAACACAATGTTAGTTTTGAAACTTGATGAAAGCTCACGTTAAGTGCTTTATAATCCTTACTGTGTTCATTTCTAGATAGGTGTATGTTTATGCTGTGTGTCATTATCTTCACAAGCACAGTTGATTTAATGTTCACTGACTTCAGTTGTGGCAGGAATAAAAAAATTTGGGGTCAAGGATTAATATCTTTGGATTAGGACTTCGCCATGATTGCTTCGAATATTGGTAATGTTTCAGGTACCTTTATAAAAATGCAAAGATCATGTGTTTAAGTACAAAATCGTGGAGAGAAAAATTTTTTTTTGCAGATCTTGGAATTTAAAGTAGACCTTCAATCCGAAAAAAGAAAGCCAAATTGTTCAGCTCTCATGTCGTCTTAGGATATTGTATTTCTCAGGGTCCCAACAAACATGTTCAATATTAAATCAACTTGAAATAAACCAAGCACTCTTTTTTGGTTATAGATGAGACATCACTGCAAAAGATGCCAGAAAAAGTGTACATCATTGGACACGTTCTTCAAGCAGACATTATATCATGAAACGTCATCAAGAGGTGTTCCATGCAGCGTTGTCGGCTGTGAGGCTGCATTCAAAAATTACAACTCATTGCGAAGCCACATCACAAGGTGTCATTCTCCGCTTGCACCTCGTAATGCAACTAACTTCCAATCCTGCCGGACATGCAGTGTTAGTTCCTGCAGTGAAGAGGTGAGCCCTGGAAAGGCTTTTATCGAGCACCTCAAAAAACATCTCACCGGCAACCCGCCAACTGTTGTAACTTGTCCATTTGATGCGTGTGATAGCCAGCTTAGGACATGGGGTTCACTCAAGACCCATCTTTCCATATACCATGGGAATGTAAAAAAAAAAATTAGTGGTGACAGAGCCAGTAGAGCAGGATGAAATAGTGACGTCATGCTGTAGCAAGGATGACAATGGTCTGGAGAACATTAGGGAAAAACCAGACGTTGAGAGTGAAGTGCCTTCAGTCATTGATGATGTGGATCCCACTCACATAGATCAAGACTCTTTCCTTGAAAGCATGGCCCTTTTTACTTTGAAGCTTGAGTCAAAATATTTGATCCCGTCCTCAATCGTCCAGGATATAGTTGCTGACGTGAAAAGACTTCATGGCATGTGTTCCTTTTATTATTAACCATTATAATGCTCGAGCTTGGTGGCCACTGTTTTAGTTGCATATGGACTAGGGCAGCGTGAGTAAGCAATTAGAATGTGGGGAATATCATTAACTATAAATGTAACTATGGCTTCAATGTTCTGGTAGAGCAGTCACAATAGCATGTGGTAGAGGGCAAGAAACATTTCAGCACTGCAGCATGGAGGCACACATAACTGAGTGAATATAAAAAGAAGGCAAATTGGAAACTTGCAGCAGTTTCAAAGATTTTCCTGGCATGTGTGCTTGAAAATCTTTTTGCACAAATATACCTTTTTAAAAAGGCAGAATATGTTCAGTTCTTTGCAAGAGTCACTCACTCCTAAAACAAACATACACTATTATGCTCATAAAAAGGTGCTTTAAACGACGAATACGATTGCTACTTTCACCATACAGTCGTCCTTGCAGATTTCTTTCCTTCAATATTTTGCTTTTCGCAAAAAGCTATTTTGATTACAAAGATTTTGGATATGAGGAGTCAGTGATAACATGAATTTTTTAAGGCTTACAGGTGTCTGTCTGGACGGAAAACTGAGCCTGCCCAAAGATGTCCTCCTCCTCGTGACATTCCTACGTTCAAGCCCCAAAAATGATGCTGTGCTCGAGTGGAGC